TTTAATGTTTGTAATCAATAAAGCAAGTAAAATTGTAATTTTAAGTATCCTTACACGTTATACTTGCCAGGAAATTTCCTTAATTTTGTAGCATCATATGGTGATATGAATCTATTCATTGTAAATAAAAAACATTTAGCTTGTGCCTTTATGAAATCATGTATCTAGCTAAGTCCTTGCACTTTATTGTCATCTATAAATTAATATTTTTAGATTATTAAATGCATTATGCCTATATATCTTTAAAATCCTATATATTTTATTCATGTTACAGATTCTGTTATATCTGTGTAAGAATAGCAACCATGTTATATTTACTTTGGACATGGACTTAGTCCTAAATTTATATATATTTATCTACCCTTTTATACACACACACACACACACACACACACACAGGTTTATAATTATATCTGTGTAGGGACTCTCCATTTATTTCTATGAGGAAAACTCTAGTCCTAACATGACGTCCTTGACCCAAACCCAGCCCTAACCTTAACCATAAGTAACCAAACAAAATACAAGTCTATTGGTATGTTTAGTTTTTTGACAGAATGCATAGATCTTCGTGGGGACCTGAAAAATGGTCCCCACAATGTCAAAATGAAATGACAAATGGTCCCCACAATGTAATATAAACATAATCCACACACACACACACACATAATGCATTATGAAGAGCACAAACCATGGAAACGGCTTTTTACCTATCATGTTCCACTCTTGCTTTTTGCCCTGTGGCTGTCATAGGCTATTTCTGTAATACTTAATCACCTTGCATTCATCCCTCCGTCCAGGTTCCTAATTATAGTGGAATCCAGCCTGTGCCTGACTTGTTCAGCCTTGTTCCTGGTCAGTATACAGTAGTGCTGGAAAATAACCTCTGTTGATGGGGGCAGTGCTTCAGGTGGGCTTGCAGAATTGATAGTTCACTTCACACTGGTAGAATTTTCCCATTTAGGTCTATTGCTCAATAATCTCAGTCTGGAGCTGCAAAATTGCCCGTTTAATTTAGACATGCTCACACTTACATCTGGGTACTCTAAATGTATCTGCACCTACATTTATCGTACATTTCTTGCTAAAGGACAGATGAATCATTTTCTACACAATTTCTTGTCATGAAACAAATTAACCAACACAATTTTCATGACTACCCAGACTAATCATTAAGCATTAACTAGCATGCTAAAATTTACTGTCACTGTGGTGTCACATCATAATCAAGTTGTTAATGAAGAAATGACATTTGATTAACATTTGATGATTTGGTGACAAATAATTACTGGAAAGTTCTGATGATCTAGAGAAACATCAGGAAACAGACACCAAAATGTGTATGAAAACCACAGATGACTCACCAGTCCACATGCAAACACAATTCAGGAGGACCGTTTCCTCTGAAAGAATGTGTTTTTCCAACGTTCAGAGATGCACAAAAAATGTCCAAGGACAACTGAACTGGACATCGATACCAGATCCTAACCCATTACCCTACAGCTGTGAGGTGTCAGTAGCACCTGCCGAGATGCCAGCCTATCAATCCTTCACCCATTGAAGACCTGATAAATGTTACGAAACGCCATCCTGGGTAATATTATAATACAGACGCTCCTCTACTTACGAACGAGTTACGTTCTGAAGGGCCATTCGTAACTTGAAATGTTCGTAAGTCATTATTAAACATCATTTTAAGGGTATACGCAAGTATAAAGAACTAGGATGCTGGGAGTTTGCACGCTACGCTGCTGCGCGGCGGGAGTAGCGGCCAGAAGTCGTACTAGTTGGAATTGGCACGTTTGTATGTCTGAAAGTTCGTAAATTGAAAGTTCGTAAGTAGAGGAGCGTCTAGGGAATCTCGGTATAATCATTGATCGCTAGGTCGTGTTTTCGGTGCATTCAATGTTTTTTTTTGCATCAGTATAAAATTTAATTGTCAGAATTAGGCACGTTTCTGCATTTCACCAATGTCAATATGCAAGACGAGAAGCCATTCCAGTTCTGATTATGACAAAACCGCCAACTCCCATGAGACAAGCAGGCACAATTAAATGAATATAATGATGTAAGTAAATTTTAACTAGATGACTCCTGAGTCCTGCTTCTAAACGGTTTCATTATCCCATCAAGTCCCCGGCCACCCTGCATACAGTCTGTGCAGCTGTAAGAAAAATCTCTATCAAATATGTGGGATCTACCACACAAGAAAACCAGAAGAACCTCTGACAAGAGAAATTACATCCAAAGTGCACGCTGGTTGAGTAACTTTTACTGCATGTGAGATAGAAAAGACATTGCCAGTGAAGCCTGAGAGATTTTTCTAAAGGGACACCACACCTCTGAGATAAAAGGCAGTCTGTCACAGCTTTCCCAAGGGACCATGCTGATTAAAGAATTTTATTGGCAGCATTCTAACTTTAGATGCAGTTTGAACAAAGATGAAACATAAACCTTGATCTGTAAATGTCACATAAAAAATGTTAAAGTTTTTTAAGGTTCTCATTAACTCCATTTAAGTCATCAGGAGAAGACAGTGACTAAAAGCACTGAGAAGCAAACCAGCAACATAACCTTTCTGTGAATAACCCAAACATAATGCCTTCTCAGCCATTGCTGCTTCGTCCCTGTTTTGCCCTCACAAGAACAGTATTGTCAGGAAAAAATTCTCATAGCTTCATAGGCAAGTTATGTCAGTAATAACACCACACACACATTTCACATGTGGAAGTCTGTCACTTATTTTAAACAGAGTAACAAAAAGCAACGCTGTGCTGTTAACACTGGGGTTCAGTGCTGAAATCCGGTCCCAGCTCGCCAGACTGTCTTGGCATGTCTCAGTGCCTTACATAGCCTTGCTTGAACCCTTCTGGGATAGGCTCAAGGTCAACATAACCCTAGATGTACAATTAAAACCCTAGATGGTTATTAAAAATAAAAACATTGTTATCAGGACGACTATAAAAATAGTTATTAATTATACGTATTCTTATTCCTAGACTTATCAGTTTTTTATAACTCTATTTGTTACTAGAAAATAACATTTATTCACTTAGCTGCCACTTTTATCCAAAGGCAGGTAACGCATCTAGTAATTTTACACACTTGGATATGTTGCAGCTATAATTCAAGTTGCCTGGTTTTCTCAGGGTTACAACAGGGTAACAGCTTTTTTGGCCATTTCCCTGAACATTGTGAGACCGGCTCCTGACATGACATAACAACACTGCATTAAATCTCTGTGTCAAGGCCCTAGCACAGGTCAAAGAGCACATGCTAGGATGGCCTAGATGTCAGGCCAGGATGCTTCATACTCAGCTCTGGTATAATCTTATGAAAAAGCAGTATTTCAGGACTGTGAACAACACAGCATAGTATAATGTTACACCTACAGGATGCAGAAGGCAGCAAGCAACCCTCTGTAGGTCAGTCAGAAGTGAGAAGAAACAGAGACCACTGATAGTGGAGCTGGTACAATAGCTGGCAGTGACGTCACAATGCTTTATGCATTCCTCCGGATAGGTCTTATTCAACCTCTGCCATGGTCCTCATAAACCCCAAAGGAGAAAAAACGTAACCCTAACCCTCCATCCCACAACCTCTTCATGCGAGAGTAAATGGCGACTTAATGGCCCTTAATGGCCCTTAATGGAGCAGACTGCTCAGGCAAATCAATGGCCGCACCCTCATGTCTTCCTCCCACAAGTGATCTATGACAAGGAATGGGCAGAATTCCGCAGCACTTCCCCCTTCCAGACCGCTTTCCATACGCATCACATTTCCCAACTTTATAGGTGCTTGTAATTCCCAGCTCCGTTGACCATCTCTAAGATGCTCACTTCATAATCAAAGGATCTCCCCAGTGCTCACATTTGTCAAAGCCAGCCATGAATCCTTCTCATTTAAAATACACTTAATCATCTTTATTATTTTTTTAACCACACAGGAATGATTTCCTCAGAACATTCAGACCATAGCTTGTGGCTATCACACTTGGTTCCTGTGACATCAAGGGTAAGGAGGCTCAAAATGTACGCACAAAATACAGACAAGCATTCAATTCTGTGTTCTTCTGAATCAAAATGCATTCTTTGTAACAGAGAACTGGAACAGCCAAGAATATTAGACATATTTGGTGAACTAACATTATCCAAGCATTACATTAAATATTCCTAATATTTTACATGTAATGAGAGACGCTGTCTGCAGTATCTATGAGTTTCCTTATGCTGGCATGGCCAGACATCTTGGCTATACACAGCACTATTACTGAGAGACACAGTAGAAATAATTTATTAAATCAGGCCCTGTTTTTTAAATCATATACGGTTTCCTTTTTAAGTCTTCCCCTGACTCCATTATTAGTGAAGAAAGGTATAGCAAAAGTAAATTACATTATAAAAAATAAAACTGAATTTATATATAAGATACGGTAATAATACGAACAGTAATAAATAATTATTTATCAGCATCTGAGTAAAAAAGATGTAGTGTCCAGTCTTGCACCTGACGCACCTGTTGGAGTCGTGCGCGGTTTTAGTGCCCCCTCTCGGTTACCGCCATAAATTGCGTTTTTGTGTTCTTGTATAGACAAACTGTTTACTGTATTTAAACCTTATCTTGCCGATGTTGAAAATAAGATTACGCGGTTATTCGACACAAGGGATGTGAGTTTTGCTATCAAAAATAACGCGACTTTAATATCACAGTAAATGAAGTAAGATACTGGAAAGACAAGTGGCACTGTGCGTGCGGGGTTGCTGGGGGATAAGTAAACGAATACGTTTGTGCGCAAATTCATCAAAAAACAGTATCATGATAAAATAGGGTTTGATATTTCCCTGTTAATTCACACCTTATATTATCACGTCCTTCGATTTCCATTACCTTTTAACTCTGCATTTTACATATTCACTTTCGCCTATAAATTAATATTTGTAAATGCATATGCAACAAAAAAATGTGCGGCAAGATGGATTACTATCCGAATAAAATGTACTTACCAACTCCAAATTTCTCTTCCTCCGTCGGCATCCACATGATTTTTGTGAAATTCCGAACAATCGACGGCTGATTTATTCGTTTTCATGAACGGATGCAAGCGCACGTTGCATAAATCTCGTAGAGCCCAGTACATTCAGAGCTGCATATCATAGCAGCTAAATAATATTAAGACAATTGAGGGGGGGAAACAAAAGCCTTAGATATAAAACATAGCATTTAAATTGACCGGACGATTATCATAAAACGTCCATTTCTTTGCCTTAGTGCCGCCTCACAATGTACACGGCGTTCGGTGGCGTGTTTCCCGTCATCTGTGGCTCAGCACTCGTACGGGGGAATCGAGCGCGATTAACGCAGCAGCATCCCCGACCAGAAGCAGACCGATTTATTTATATATATACATACATTTCTCACCGTGGTCATTACTCCCCTTTCATGACAAACTGTTACGTCAATTTCCACTTGGACAGATCGGTGCCCGTGTTTTAAGGCGCTGCCGTGAAAACCCGCCGTCTCCACTCCGTCATTCGGAGATTCATTTTCCCTGGTGATCCATCTTCGGGAGACTATGGGAGTGTGTCTAGAACTAATTGTGAATTATCCAGATGCGCCATTTTTACACACCCGTCATCACGTGATCGCAGTTGTCAACACTGTAGTGTCAATTGGCGGACAGGAATTTCTGATATTGCAACTGAAATGTCCTGTTGGAGGGCTTTCTATCTTTGTGGGGCAGCATTACTGACGGAGTAGGAAACGATATCTTGGCTGGGTAGCACGCAGTCTAAAGTGATTTTCCCTGTGAATATTTCATAATTTAAACAAATGAGCGTTAAATGAATTCAGGACCGATATATCCAATTCCAAAGAGTCATAGATTTCCAGCTACCATTACAAAGGTAAGTCCAAGTTCAAGGAGTCCACAGTTCAAGTCTAGACATGTTGTATAGCGCATTGGCAGCACAAAAGCCTGGACTGTGGCCCTCCAGGAAAGGACTTGAAAAGTGAAGCGCTGTAGCTGAAAACAAATTAACAAGGCCTGATGGAGGTCAGTGGTGTTGATGGTTAAATTGTTACATCAATTTGACATCTCTGGGTTACATAGCTTTTCTAACTCAGGGACATGTACAGCAGAGGGATATCCACTGCAACATGAAATACTAGCTGATCAGAGAACAGTACTACATCATAACAGTTGACATCTCCAATGTGGAAACAAGGGCCACCAATTATGGTAATTTACTTAAAAAATGTTCCAAGCCAGGTTGTGAGGGGGAGGTTTCAAAATAATTTCCTCCATAGCAGACCAGCTAATTAGAATTGCCTCATCTGCTCTATACCCCAGTGTCAGATACAAGAGCCATACCTGCGGTGCAGTGGACCACCCTCCTGATCGCTACAGAAGAATGGCCGTTCTCTCTCATGTGCATTGTTTTGTGCATACTGAGAGTGACTGCCATTTGTGAGGCTGAGAAGAATGAATAAAATGAGAAAAAGCCATCTGCATTACACAAGCCTTGCTGACTTAGCCTTGCCCCAAGTCAGTCTTTTCTATTGTCGAAGCTGCCTTCTGCCACAGAGGTTTGGAATTCCCACTCAGCTTAAACTGCTCAGAGAGATTTTGGGTTTGCTTTCAGAATGCATATCACTTGTTTCTGAATGAAGCAGGACTGGCTGCATTCAGAAGTAAAGCAAAACCACAAAATATAATTTCTCCATACATTACCTGATATTTGCATCAGGCCATTGGGTGGCACATCAGACATCTACAGGTAGACCCCATAGTCAGTAGATATCCTAGCAGTGGTCAATGGACACAGACTATGACTTATAAACATGTTTTAATGAAACAAGGGAATCTTAAAAGGATTCTTAAAATAGATGGCAACCATATAGTTCAAAATGTGACGCTGACATACTCCAGCGTGGTCAAATGTAACCTCAGTGAGTGTGTGACACACAAATGACAAAAAGAAATATTGTCAATGAGTGTAACATCCGGCAATGCTAATATGAGTGCCACCCAATGGCCTTTGGTTATAATGCATCTCCCATATAGCATGTCTCATACTGATGGGCATCTGGCATCGTGTGAACGTGTTTGCTGTGCGGAGTAATACTTATTTAAAAAAAAAAAAAAAAAACCAAGCATGCGAAATATTTTCAGTTCCATTTATAGCAAAAATACTTTTCATACATTTTGTACAAGTATTGATGTGAAGGTTTTTACACAGGAGGTGATAATTGCTGTAATTAAGGACATATTTCACAGAAAAACACATGAAAACAAAAATGAGTGTTGGGGGGGCCCTCAATAAATGATAAGATCAGTACCAGCGCAGACGATCTTGCCCATATTCTGAGTGGCACTTTATACTGGCAATACTGTCATTTTCAACTGTTTCTGAGTCCTTCCAACGTACAAGAGAACATAGCAACTGCAGAACATAGAACATAGCAGTTACAATTTAAAATATCAGTGGACAGTGCAACCTTGTTGTAAATGTTCCAGGACCGGAAAACTGATTTGTGAAATTAAGAAAGGACCTGCTCCCTTTCCTACCCACTACAAGTTGGACATGAAGTGTAATACAAAAGCTAAAAAGCTTACTTATCCCTGATCATTCCTCAGGTTTTCAAGTGTAATGAAAGGGGCTTATATGAGGGACTAAACACATAATACTTTTCTTTTGGAAGAAAAAAAAATATACTACCCAGCATAAATAACTTGAAGGGTTATGTGACGCATTTTAGAGGTAAAACTGAAAGTAGGACACATGCATAATGTCAAAGCCGGGTCTTCATTTTTCTGCATTTGGTACAAAAAAACAAAAGATAAAAAAAAAAATTAAAAAAAATCAACGTATAGAAAGAGTGACATGATGCTTTAAGGCTTCTCAGTTAAGGGCTGTAATCCAGGTGGTAGTGTGCTCTTGTTTTTCTCTAACTGTACTTTACTAGCATGGCTGCACGACTGCTAGCACTCCCCTAAAACCTGTTACCCGGAAGTCAGTCTGCACATTTATTAACGCGATTTGGATGAGGCATCATCAGCTGCTGCACGCTGGCCAACACGTTCCTTCCAGGAGCTGAAATCAGCCTGATTACACTGAGGGCCGCGAGTTACGGCTGCAAGCGGCCACCCGGCTAGGGTGCGGGGGCACACCATGTCCTGGCGAGTGGGCGGGGAAGGGCGGAGCTTGAGGGTAAGAGGAGCGGAAAAAGGAGGATCAGTCGACGGGCAGGGCGGTAAGCAGACTGAAAGCCAGCTACTCCTCACCCAGCACGACCCAGACACAAGCTGATACGTGGGTAAGGGGACCCCCTTCGTCATGCCAACTGCCGTCATAATCACCTCCTACACACCAGTAAGGGCTGCTTCATATTTGGAAATATGTCAAAATAGCATCTAATAGTTTCAAAATAAATTAAAAAGGAGAAATCATTACTGGCATGTTGTGGTGTACAGAATGTACTGACACACTCAGACACTTATAAAGCTACATTGCCATATAAAACTATGCATTTAAGAAATTCTTACAAATATTTCAGTCACTCTTCGGTTACCGTACCTCCGAATGTGTCTGCTGCAGTGTTGCACTGGGGCACAGGCTCCGTTTGATCGTTGTGTCTTAAACTCACACCACCCCCAGCAGCAGAAACCGCCTCGCCATCAACATTCAAGCCCGACCAACCCAAACTCCACTCCTTCTCCTCACCATGTTGCTCTCGTTTTTCTCTAACTGTACTTCATTAGCATAGCCGCTACATTTGCGAGCATTCCCCCAGAACCCGTTACCCGGGAGACAGGCCTCAGTGCTTGGCTTTCGTTTGTCCAGTCTGCCTTCACTCATTCAGAGACAGAATGATGTCATCCTCCAGGTCCGAATTGTCAGAACTGTCTGCTGCAAGGAGAACATTACAGAAAAACATCACAACTTGCCCAAAAAAAGTACAGGGAGGCTATTTAAATATAAAATATCAAACAATTTTTTCTTTTGTAGTTGGACAGTCACTTCTCCCTGTCCTTTAAACACAAAGACAGACATTCTCCCATAATGATCCCAAAATAAAACTAGTTGACGTAGATCCCCCCCCATTGCTTCTAATGTTAACAACACAAATGAGAATTGTATGAATATGGTGACAGCAAGAGACCAAGAAATGGCACCAGTACTCACTGTTCTCCAGAATGAGCTCAACATCTTCATTGTCGTCCGAATCTTCATCATCGTCGTCATCATCGTCTTCCTCCCCTTCTTCCAGCAGGCGTGCCACCTCCTCATCATCAGAAGGTGAGAAGTCGTGCTCTCCGTCCTCCTCCTCTTCCTCTTCCTCCTCTTCACCTCCATTCTCATTCTCTAGCTCTGCGAGCAAGGGATCTGTGTCTACATCATCCAGGTCATCATCAGAATCGTCGTCGTCGTCATCGTCGTCATCCTCCTGGTCTTCATCCTCCTGTGTGCAAATGAATATACAATTAACTGCTATTGAAAATGACTCCATCCATAAACGTTTATCTAGGACTGTGCTACAGTGACTGTCAATTCAATTTCAACTTATTTTTATATAGCGCCTTTCACAGCAGTCGCCATGAGGTGCTTTACATGGATGTATAGCGATATATTCCTGCTTCAAAAGCAGATCTTTTACAATAAAGGTCTGCGTGTCGGAATGGATAGTTTTTGGTGGTGCCTGATCTGGTGACTCGCCTGGTCTTCTTCGTCTTCCTCTTCCTCTGCTAATCGCTGCCGGCCCACCTCATAGAGCCGGCAGACTGTATCCATGTTGATTGAATCTTGGTTCTACAGAGAAAACAGCATGGAATCAATCAGATCCCATGTCACTGTCCCCCACGAAACAAATATTCCAACAATTCACAGCACAAGCCGCAGTCATTCCTTTGTACAGTCCAGACCACCCTTCCAACCAAACCAACGGCACACATTCAACGTTCAAGAACACTCACCTCAATAACAGCTAGATAGCAGTCCTTAGTGTCCGTGCAAAGGTCAAAAATATTCCTTTTTACATCAATTGTTGCTAGAGAAAAGAGTAAAACGATAAACATATATGTTCATGTTATCTTGGTTAATAAATTATAGCGAGGCAAGAGGAAACATTATCTACTGAGACCAAAACTACAAATAAAATTTCAAGTTACTTGTTTAACCAAAAGCAGCTTCTCGCTGTAAACCTCAGGAGGCAGTGACTCGTGCTCCAACTGCATTGTTTAGTCTGTTTTATAGTCTGCAGTATGAATAACTTAAAGACTATGGATCCTACCAATGGGCTTGTAGTCAGTTGCATCAAACGTCCTGAAGGAGGAGCCAAAGGGGCTTTTTAGCTGCTGCTCCATCATGTCCTCCTCATCATCGGCCTGTAGCATCGCTGAACAAAGAAGGAAAAAAAAAAAAAAAAGGGTCCAACAACTGAAGGCTAAAGGACATACTAAGTCAACTCTACGGTGGAATGCAAAAGCAGAGCCCTTAAATACACATTCAGAAAGACGTTTTGTTCAGGCAGAGAAAGACATTTCACGTCATACAGAGAAGCGTGGATGGTGCGAAGTACTGACCTCCGTAGATGACTGTACCATTGTTGTTGAAGACTATCCGGCACTGGTCCAGGGCTGGGACCGTGTGGAGAAGGTGAAAAGTCCGCAAGTCCCACTGAGACACTTATTAAGTGCAATTGCGTTCAACACATGAAAACCATATCACTCACACAGATGATTCAGAAGACTTTATGTAACTGGCAAGAGAGAATCAGCATTAACATCAATGTTCACTACGATTGCTAGTTCACACAATCATAAACCTAAAACAATTGCAGTTTTAGGAAATAGCTGTACCAGAATAAGACTGTCACAAGTCACAAAAAACATATCAAGCACATCAAGGCAGGCAAGGATACAATCTCTGTGTTGATGATGACCTCAAGTCCATTGGGATGGAAGACACCACTGATGTTCATGTTGAACTTATCAAACTTGTGTATGGCTTGAGCAGAGCGCACATCCCACAGCACGCCGTCATTCAGCACCAGGTCATCTGTGGGGTTAAATGTCGCGCAGTTCCTCTTGTAATTGTTGGCCAAGTCGGGGTTGTTGAGAGTCAGGATCTTCTGGCCAGTCTGGATGTCATATATCTGGAGAGAGATGACAGTGAGGGGACAGCACAAATATGCAGAGGGAAAATGAAGGCGGCCTGAGAAATGAAAAACAAACTCACATGAGCGATATATTCCTTTGTGCCAATGACTCGGTCCTGAGAAAGTTTGCTAAACTCCACGTAATGATCATCTAAAAAGGAATGCCTGAAAAATAAAGGTTTTTTACCGTTATGTTTTTAATAGCTGAAAGGGGACTTATGTGCCCAGAACAGAACATGCTTCGTAATATAGGGGGAAAAAAATCCCATGGCGCAGTGCTTCTAAATATAGCTTACTTTATAATGAATACTGACTGCATGCCCCAGAGTGCAGAGAGGGGGTAACTCCACGAGGCTGATGTGAGCAGCAAAGAGCCATCCTGGGAAAAGAGACGAATTGGCAGAACAGGCAAAAATCAAGATCCCATGAAACTGCAGTCACAGAGTCACATGTCAAGATCCCCACGGCTAGTGACGTATGCTACAGTAAGGGCAGAAAGGTCTCCGACAGGAACAAGATACCTCTCTTCTAGTGCTAATATTTATATTACTACACTCTTTCACTCTAAATTCCCCCCAAAAAAATATAAAAGGCAAAAAACTAAAGAGCCACAGCTAAAAAGGAGAGGAGAAAAGGCCAACTAGGAACAGGATTCCATTGGTGCACAAATGTGGCATAATGGCAGAGAGAGGAGGCCAGAGATGGTCACTGACCCTCGAGGGCTCCAAGTGTGTGATGGCTGAGCTGTGGCAGTTATAGCTGGCTTCCTCCTGCCCTGTGAAGACATTGTAGAGCTTCAGCTGCCCCGTGCAGGTGCCCAGCATAAGGAAGCGCTCGCGCGCAGAGAAGGCACAGCACATGAAGCCGCTCTCGTCCTCCTCCGCCTCCCTGAACACCGAGATTGGCCGGAATCTGCGGGCGTGACAACACAACCGGACGATTAGGCGTGAGCATATTCATCACCAGCAGATGGCAGCAATACACCGCGGGGCCGGTCGACTCTCTCAGCGCAGCACCTGCTGAAGATGAGGTGTCTGTCGAAGCAGCCTCCATCCACGCCGCCATATTTGGGATAGACCACCCTGCGTGTGTGCCGGGGGGTGAAGTTGGTGGGCGCCTGGCGTCGCTGCTTGGGCTCGGGGCACTGGTGAGGGGTGAAAAGGGAAAACGGCGGGCAGGTGGTGACGGGGTTCTTGCAGCGGGCGTGCTGCTCACGCAGATACTCGGTGATGATGCTGTCGAGTGCCGGCGGCGAGGGAAGGTGCCGGTCCGGCTGCTTCTTCATGGCGGGCGTCTGGCTGAACGCACCGTGGTCCGATTTCTGCCGCAGCACCCTGGGTTTCTTACTACTGCCACTGCTGAGACAGGGGGAGGGCCGCTCCCGGGTGAAGACGATGCGGCCAATCAGGGGCGAGCCGTTGCTGTGTGGAGGTGGGGCTGCAGGGGGCAGGGCAGGGAGAGAGGAGGGCGGCTGCGAAGTCGATGGGCGGGGCTGAGCATGGATGGAGGCAGGTGTGGAGGAGAGGGAGGCGTGGCTCAGACGGGCAGCTACGCCGTTGGCAAGGCGAGGTGTGCGGGGAAGGGTGGCGACAGGAGAGGCAGGAGGGGCAACAGAGACGATGGGAAAGGCGGAGGAGGAATGCGGCAGGACCATTGGCAGGTCAGCCTCTTTGGTGAGGGCGTTGGCCGTTTCGTTGAGGCCCTTGGCCAGCAGGTGGCTGCGGATCAACAGCAGCAGCTCCTTCTCAGGGAAGGTGATGCGTGATTGGGCCACGACGCTGGCCCTCTGCAGCCGGGCCAGGGACACGTCGGTGCCGATGAGCAGCGGCTTGCCGGAGACGCGCTCGATGAGCTCGGCGGCGAACTTGCAGAAGCGGACGTGCTCGCTGCGCTTGTCCTGCAGCACAGGCTCCTTCATGAGCTGCTGGATCTGCCCACTGCTGAAGAGCGGCAGCTTGCTGATGATCTGCCTGACGGAGGCGCTCCGCGACAGCCCCACCAGCGCCTTGCAGGCCAGGGCGCGGATCTGGTCGGCGTCGGTGATGGGCATCTTGACCGTGAGCAGCGACAGCAGCACCTTAATGCCGTTGTTGGACTGGACCACGTTCCACATCTTGGTGAGCACGCTCTCGCTGCTCTTCGTGTGGTGCGGCAGGCGCCGCCGGGGCGTGCCGGAGATGAACTTGCCAATGCTGGAGACGCGCTTGTCTGGCGCACACACGCAGTTGATCACCACCTGCAGCGCGGATTTCTGGATCTCGGCGTCGTTCACAAACACCTCGCCCTCAGCTACCACCAGGATGATACTCATCCCTGCAGAGAAGCGGATGGAAAAAAATCATTTGGAGAAACAAAAACTACACAAGAGTGACAGCTACATTTGGATAACAAATGTATGAAGTCATGAACCATTTCTAAGGTTGCCACAATAGACTGTAGTGATAGTGATGATTATATCTGACCATCTGAGGTTAATGTACCATGAATGTAACTGCTCCTGAGTCCCACCACGTAAGACATCCCCCACTCCCAGCCCAAACCCTTGTGCAGGAGGCAGCTCAGTGACTAACCCACAGTGGAGACAGAGGACCCCCCCTCATCCAGAACGTCCACAGATTCAGCCAGCAGCAGCTGCGTCTTAGGCACCACTGTGAGGATCGCCAAGATATCCAGGGCGTAACGCACTGTGTCACTCCTGGGGAGAGAAAGGAGTATTAAGTTTCCAGTATAGCTGCACAATATCACATCGTGATAAAATCTTGATATGTGTGCACGCGCAATAATCACCAGGGCTTAAGATGACAGGCATAAAAATTTGTCCAGATGCCGGGTTTATGGTACTATACGGACATTTGCTTACACGCACCTTTTGGTAAGCGAATTACTAGTACATAGGGATGAAACAGTTACTGGTTTCATGGTAAACTGCAGTACATTTTCTGAGGGCTGGTATTACCAGTTCAAATTTTAATTATCATTAACACCATGGTTGATTATTGTGCATGGAAAAACTTACTGTAATGCGTGGCAGACGGAGGCAACAGCAAGAAACCAAGAGACTTGTTATTAGAGGGAAACAACGGCCTTTCATTAAACCCATAAAAGGACTAATACAGGCATCAAACAACCACTGCACACACGGCGCAGAAACACAAGTATGTCTAACACCGGACTGTAAGGCACACACACGGTGGTTAGTTTACACAGTTACTAGACACACAAGAGGACCAGACAGGGTTCATGCAAGACACAGGCAAGGGCATCCATGACAATCAGGAACACAACAAGTATTAACAACAACACAAACAGGGGCTGTTAATTTTCCCAGCATGCTCCTGAGCGGTTACTGAGATCTGTCATATGCAGAGCCATCTCACCAGTGCTACATTAAATACGTTAAATACTGTGCGACGCTAACCAAAGTTAGCAAAAGTCTCCCAGACGCAGGTGCGCAGGCGCAGTGTTTATCAAATGAGGGCGTAAGTAAGCAGCCGTATAACACTGAAAATCAGCGCCCGGATACATTTTTATGGCTATCAGCTAAAGCCCTGTAATCACATCGCATTTGTCAGCACTGATTTGTGTCTGTCGATAACTCATGGGTACACCAGCATCACCATGGCAACACTATTGGTAGATAAATTCTGTTTGGCTGTAGTTTATTTTGGTGCAATACTAAGCGCAAATATTTCAAATAATCGTGATGTTGGCCAGCCCTAGTTTCCAGTTATTACACCTATGACACAGAAACATGGGGAAAAAGCTCAGAGGACAGAAAAAAAACATTAAATGAGAAATAATGAAAGTAATAAGGAGCAGTTCAGGTATCAAGGTGTTAGTTCAAAGGTCATTCATATTGGGGGCATTTTTACCCCAAAATTACAGACTCAGGCATGCTTACACGTATGAGAGAGAGCTGGTGTACATGGATTTTCATGCGCATTATAGCCGTGAGCATTAATTCTAATAAAATGGGATGGTCTGATAGTCAGTTTGACGCTGCTTGGTGAAAATACAAGAAGAAAAACCATTTCTCAGAACAAAACACACCACAAGAAACAAGCAGAGGCTCATACCTGCCGTAGTAGGTCCTCCAATCACAAGCAATGGAGATGAGCTGCAGCAGAAGCTGGATGCAGGAGAGCTTGTGGAAGACCTCAGCTGGTTCCCAGTACAGTCGTGCAGGGCCGTACTCTGTCAGGAACTCCATCATCTCCACAACCTGCTCATGGGTGTAGGTGCACGCCTGCCGATATCAGACATTCACAGGCTCTGAATTAAGGGTGCAACAGCATGACGGTTTACAGTGATAAAAAAAAAAAAAACTGAACTACTTATAGGTAAAGCACTTTATCGTGTTTTAAATGATGACATCACATTAATGTAAGACACACAAATACTACATTATCACACAAAATACCTGTCCAATTCACATTAATTCAGGTTTAACTCCTAAAACTGTGACAATTTACTATGACTTTCATAACACATGCGCAGTCGTGACACATCCCCCCACCCGTCAGTTAGCTAGCTAGTAAGCTAATACAGCGTAAAGATGTCAACGTGTTCTGAGGAACCGAAGGGTGCAAATGGCAACATCAGCAGCAAAACGCACCCTGAACAAAAACAACATGCTCAGCCATGTGGACACATTCGGGATTCATAAAAAAGATGGAGTTATTGTTGAGAACAAATGACCAATTTGCAGATAAGGCCACCAACTCCATGTGACAGCGTTCCTTGTTTTGTTTTGTTTTTTTTTTTTTGGGGGGGGGGGGGTATAGTAGGGTTGTCAAACGTTTTTTTGTAACTGTAATTAACTGCACACCTTGGCAATTATTCTTGTATACAATGTCCAGCAACAGAGCTTTTTTTTCCTCAGTTTATGACAAACACACAAGGTATGGGACATAATATGTAGGAACAAAAAAAACAAGCGTGTGTGGAGAGTTGTGTGACTCTCAATTTGTGTGCGAGTAATCAGATTTATAAATGTGTAAAAGAATTTGTAGATGCGTACTGAGATTTGTAAATGCGTACAGTAATCTGCAAATGTGTAGTTAGGATCGTTGTGCATAATCGGATTAGTAAACCTGTAAATGAATCTCTAAATGTGTAATGAGATTTACAAGTGTACTGAAATTTGTACGTGTGTAGACAAACCCATAAAAGCATGCATAGATCTGTGAATTCATAGACAAATCTGTAAATGCATGCATAGATCTGTAAAAGTATAGGTATTAATGGCTAAAAAGTCTAAGCATTTTGCACCAAGAGCTGGAAATACGGACAAGTCATCAGTTACAACTGGACCAGAATATCTCTGGACAGTTATTTTTCCCCTCTATACATCTCTACACAGTGTTTTTACTCTGTAGACACGGTAAAAAAAATACCCCTGTTAAGACCTGTGTTTACCTGACAACCATTAAAAATGCACTTGATAGGCCAAATGGAAAGATTCTCATTAAGATACACTCTAAAAAATTGCTGGCTCAACTTAAAACAATTATGCCAATTTGTAAGCTTTATGAAAGTTTTTCCGGTTTCGATTACTGAATAAACGAGGAAAATGAGTATTATAAAGTTAGATTACTTTAAGTACAGCCAAAACAATTTGCCTTCTACAAAATTAAAAAAAACATATCACTACAGCTTCTGAATGGATAGGTTATAACGTCTTCATTATATTAACTTCACTGTTTTTTCCATCTTTATTTTATTTTATTTTTCATGAGGAGGCCATACACAATGTGCCTGCGTACTCAGCACATCTCGCTGGGGCTACAATTGTATCGGGATGGACAACGTGCGATACTAAAACAATTCTTACGTCGCTAGTTATTTAGATTAAGATCAGGCTTTTTCTTATTTTAAATTATGTATGGAAATTATAAGTCAGTGGAAAACAGGAAATACCGAAAGTACCTATCAAAAGCAGAAAAGCGCCCAAAGCTTCTGCGCAGATGAAACTCGGTCCCAGAAATTGCAGTAATGTAGCATTTTTCAGATGTTAAGGGAAGGCAAAAATATTTGTTCAAAATACAGTGGTACCTCGGTTCTCGAACTCACTAGAACTCTAATTTCTTTAAAATCGAACAAACCAGTTTGACCTAGAACTCGATCTGAATATCAGTAGTCGAACCGTGAACGCTGACCTAATATAAATTGTACGTGCCAGGAAATTAGTCATACTACAATGCAATTCTTACTTGAATGCCTTCTTCACAGGCTGGACGATTAACCAAATAAAGCAGCGCAACATTACAGTAACTAACAATAAATAAACCACTAACTTACGTGTACTATTAGAGCATTTATGTAATTTATTTAAACTTTATTTTACCAGATAAATTAACTGAAAAGCAGTTCTCACTGCTTTACGTGATATTCAGGAGAAATAGCAGATTACGCATCGGGAACTGCCTGGGACGCAAACGTCATGCGTGTAACTCTTCAGCCAATAAGGGCAATGATGTGTCGTCACGGAGGCGGCTCCAGTTTGTGCAGGCGGGTGAGAGGTCGCAATGCATCTAACCGTAATGCATTGCGTCAGGATCAGAATGCGTTGCTTTAAGCCAGCGCTGTAAGCAAGTCGAACGCACCCAATGACCAGACTGGGGAGACAAACTGAAACGCGGACTTAATACAGAGGACTAATGACAACAACCAGAAACAGCTGATCGCATGGGGATCCCACACGAGGTTAACGAGGGGGCGTGGCACACGGAAGGAGCGGACGATCGGGGCAGGACAGGGATAATGATGGGATAAGATCTTTATCGTTTTGGAAGCCATTAAGAAAAAAATGCTCTTCTTGTTTTATCCTGTTCATTTTGTGTTTAAATGCTAAAAAAAAAAAAAAAAAAAAAATTTAGGTGTAATTTTAGGTGGCGGGGAACCAATTAATTGGTTTTCCATTATTTCTTATGGGAGAAATTCGATCAGAACTCGAACTTTTTAGGATTCAATCCGGAGTCCGGAACAGATTAAGTTCGAGAACCGAGGTACCACTGTACACATATAACTAACTTGACAGAGTATTCTTTATTTTTAATTTTGACTTGACTAAAATTAACTAAGAATTATGTAACAAACGTAAAGTTTTATGTTGAGAAACATTTTTAGTGTTATTTACAATCCTCTTCAACCATTTTTAGAGTGTATTAGCCTTCACAATTGTTGCAATTACGATATTTTTATCCTCTGAGCTGTCTAGAATTTTTTTATGAAATGTCTTCCCTCGCCTTTTCCCTTCCCCGTGAGATGCCAAATGAACATTTTGATTTTGCATTTGATTTCTGGGACTCGGTGCAACATTACGCATGAAGCTCTTGCATTCTTTACAACCAAGAAGAAATACTATACCGCCCTACAAAAGCAAAACAAACTGACAAAAGGTTGGTTTGCCACGGTTTCGGTTAGATTTTGTAGTTAATGTAATTTTCACACTCTAGCATAGCTGAACTATAAAAAAGCCTAAAAAACCATTTCAGTCGGAACTCAGTTTTGATCAAATTTGCAGTTGCTGTGTTTTGCCTTTGTATGGCAGTATAGTTCCTTATTAAAAATCTTTGCTCATATTCTCTCATTTGGGTATCAAAATACAGCATGTATTAACACAATCAGAGAAATATTACCGCGTTATGACATTAAAATTAACACTAACGTGTTTACTTTGACAGACTATTTTTTTAACAAACTGAAAATCTCCCAGACTGAAACATTGAAATTCTGAGAGGCCTCTGTCCATTCAGTCTGGGAGGGATGACAACCTTATTTGTAGTGTGTGTTTTAAACCCATAATGGCCAAAACTGCAACATATCAAACTTTACACACCATGTGAGAGAACACCATCCTTCACTTTATGCCACAATGCAAAAGGCAAGTACCAGCAAAAGTTTCGCTACCAGCATGCAAAAACAATTAACTGGCTAATATTCACATGAAACATATCGCTGACACTTGCTCTGCAAGTTGAGATTTGACAAAATTAAAAGAACATGAATTTCATGCAACAAAAGAAATGAATAAGGATTAAATATATTTATGCCATACATTTTTAGTGTATGTTTGTGTTATTTATCAAGTGGCAAGGAGCTATAACACAGTACGATACTGTACATAAAATATAGCATATTGAAGTGTCATTGTGGCATCTAGTTCTTGGCAGTTAATCACAAACTTTGATGAGTCTATATTTGTCATTGAGGGACAATGACGTTACACCCCCCCCCCCCCACGTTTTCTGTGCATGCAACATTAGCCTCAGGTAGCTAGCCAGAAGCAGACGGATTGCCAAAGTAGGGCGATCAAAGTAAAGAAATTTTTTATAATTATTTTTTCTGTATGTTGTTATATTTAACAAGACCCAAAATGAACACTGTAAGCGTTCTACTTGATTACTATGAGCAAATTATTTAAACGGTATTTGTATGGGAATGGTTCTGTCCCAAGCTTTTTGATCCATATAAGCAGTTCATCACTGTAACCCCGATCACTATAAGCGGTTTCCACTGTAGCGTCTACTATACTATAAACTTAACAGTGACACAGAACCAGATGCACAAGAGATAGATATTCACATCCATAAGAACGCCAGCAAAGCTTACCTTGTAGTAAGGCTGTGGGTGAACAGGGGTACCCCCCTCAGTACGGTGCAGGGACTGCTTCACCTGCTCCACCTTTATGGCCAGGTGAGCCTCGAAGTACCTTCGCAGTGCCATGCATGTGTGTTTGGCCGTCTGCCGACTGGAGAAGATCTCATCGTCACTCAGCAGGGCCCCCTGGTCCTCAGGATTCAGGATCTCCAGCGTACTGATCTGTAAGCGAGGGTAGGTACACATGCTGTGTAAAGTCACAACAACTCAAAGACATGAGGTGGGATGGAGGACCAGGCTGCACAGACACCTACCAGGTTGACCAACCGGCGGAGTCCATCCTGGCGATCAAAGAGCTCGAGAACGGCACGGAAGGCAAAGGAGATAGAGAAGAACATGGTCGCATGACAGCAGCCAGATGCGTGGGAGCATTCCAGGAGCCAGAGCGTGTAGTTCACAACCTCGGCCAGGATGGAGGGTGGAAGCATGCATACCTAGTGAACAAAACATTACAAGTTACACTCATCCATCTCCAAAACACAATCAAAACTAGGCCTGTCACGATAGTTATGTTATCGATTTATCGCACAATACATGGACATGACCTTGATCATTTTCCCGACCTCAATACAGGCAAATTGTGTTACATAAGGATGAATGCCATTAACGTTATAGCCAGTGGCGCTGCTTCTGTGCCCTCGTCTGCTCCCTGTGCCGCAGCCATGGCTCAGAGCTGATTCAGGCTTCACGTGAAAGCCTGCTCACTACAGTGCGTGCAAGGCAGTGCCGCACCATCCGTGGCCCTAAATGTTCATACATCTGGTGCCAAACTGCCAAGCAAAGCTGCTTTTAAAAGTCACGTTTATGAAGTATGGTATGTTTGTTACAAAAAATAAATTAAGAATTTTACTAAAACTAACCATGCACTATGTAGTCAGTTACACCGGACAGGGTTATATAATCATTAAAACATTTCCATAAACTAAAATAAAATGATATATGGAAATAAAAAATACAACTATAAATACTGGTTTCAAAACCAACTGTGATAATATAAAAACAAAAACATCAAACATTTCCTGTTACTATTTTAAAATTACTTAGCTATAGTAATAATTCTTTTATCTCTGGGTCTCTTGTGCAATAAATTTGAACATAGAAATAGCAATGGCACCAGATCATTACATTTTGTAGTAGCCAGCAAAGTCCGGCAACTTCCCATCTAGCCATAGAAATAAAATTACTGTAGCCATCTAGTAGTTTTTATAATCCTATAGCAAGGAATCATATAAACACTGGTATTCCTGGACTTTCTCAGTCAACCATCCTTCAAATCTGCCAGCCATTTTCTTTTATTGTTCTGATCATAGAGGGTAGAAAACGTATTTATTTACAATCTTTGTTCATCAGCCAGGGGAAAAGTAACAGGAAGTCAGACCAATCAAAGTTCGTTCACATCACTAGAGCCTCCACAAAGCTGTGTTGGCAGTATATTGCCTGTAAAAGGAAAGAATGACTCTATACTCCTGTGCCAAATGCAGTTTTAGTTAACAGAGCTTGATAGTTTCTTTTTGTTGTGTGGTCTTATTTGTTTTATTTATTCAGGATTTTTACTTTTTTTTGACATTCCAATTCCAATGTCTAAATATTCTTAAAAATTTAAAATTCATTGCTCTTTGAAAGGGTGTATATGCATTATTATGCTGTTATCATTACAATCGGTGGCATAAAATGATCTTAAAAATCTGGGACAATATATCGTCCAACAGAAGTTATCGTGAGAGGACTAATCAAGACTCCTGCATTTCAGCTATAACATCCACACACGTGGCTCAATCAAGACACCAATGTAACAGCGAGGCAGGTGGAAGGCAGGAGCCTCACCCGTTCCATGGCATCCTGGTTGTAAGCCAAGTAGTAAAGGCACAGCGAGACGCCCGTGGCAGCCATGGACGGCCGAGGGATCTCCAGCAGTTTCTGCACCCCTCCGTGGGCGACAAACTCTGCCGCAAACTTCTTGTGCAGAAGCAAGGAAGCCAGATACTGTAGAGAGAAGCAAGGAAATTCTCAGTTTTACCTCTTCATGTGACGTCAACTTCACGGATGCTGTCCACCCTAGTGGGCGTGCTGTGGCCACAACATCCGCTAGGTTGCAGCATGTCACCAAACACAGTTACCTTGAGAGCTTCAAAAGTCAGCTGGACATCATTGGTTTGTTTGAGGTCAATATAATGCATGAGCAGCTCTCGCGCCCCCAACTGCATGAACACAGCCAACAGCTGAAAGAAAGAGAGACAAAGCACAGCTTCTGATATCAGTCTGGCCCAAAGCGTTTAGACATCTAAGATTACAGCACACAATAAGTTAAGCTTGAGAGAGTTTTGTTTTGGACACACTTAAGGACTCCTAGCCTGTTTCAAAGGGAAGGTCCTAAAAAGCCCAAGATCACCAATGTGCATTTCAATGTTCCCCCACAACGCATTACTGGAATTTGCAGCAAAAACGAACGCATGTAGTTCTTTGGGTAAAAAGTAAATGTTCTGCATTTTTTTTTTTTTATCCTTTGCTCAATATCAATATCAATAACGATAACATCTGACCCACCAGGCAAATTTAAAATGCATGGACATTAGAAGGGGCACATTGAGGACACAGTGTCCAAGAAACAAAGATAGAGTAGTGAAAATGAAGGAGGATCTTCTCTCACCTCCTGGTACTCGCCAAGAGGAGTGAGGTACTGCAGGATGAGCCGCTGCTCGATGGCAGGGGTAAGAGGGTACAGGTGGTAATTGGTGCCAATGACCCAAGGGCTCATCTCCGACCAGCTACTGTTGGATAGTTCACTCAAGTTCCTTTCTGGCTCCGGAAGTGAGAAATTCAGCTTCTGTTTGGCCTTGCGCCCATTCTCCTTTTTCCTCACCTGACCTTCATCTTCCCTCTTTGCGGCCATTTCGCCCACATCTGACTCAGGTTTCGCCAAAGCCTTTACGGCAGAGTTGGCACGGCTGCTGGTCTTGTGGGTAGAGTTGAGGCGAAAGGACAGATCGGGTTGCTTCTCTCCTTCGTATGCGTTAGACTGCCCCCCCCAATCGCCCCCATTGTTTGTCACAGGCAAGGCAGCATCCTCGAAGTCCCCATCCACGGCCTCTTCATCCAGCGGGAGAAGCGGCTCCCCCAGAGTCTTCCGGGGACTTGGCCGCTTGAAATCCTGCCGGCACTCTGCTTCCTTCTCCTGCAGCTCCCGCAGGCGCTGTAACATCAGGGGTACCTGGCCAGAGACTGCGGCCATCAGCACCAAACTCCATAGGAAACACATTCATGCTGGGCTATTTATACATGCATCTAGACCACTGAGCGGTAAAATGTCACCTGCAGTTATACAAAATGGTCCTACAATGACAACAAACAACTGGCCTGAAATGTACCCTAAAAACCTTAACAGTGACATTATTTAAACAATAAGCAGAAACATACTGCCTTTACTAACTGATTCAACTGTTACACTATTACATTGTACTAGGTAATAAAACACTGACAAGGACAGAGTTCTCCTCCCTGTAGTTGGCAGCAATGTCCTGGTTCTCCATGGCCCCAGCCAGCAGCCCTGTTGCATATATGCGCAGTGTCTGGTCTCCCTCCTGCGCCCACTTGAAGAGCCTCTCCACAATGCCCTCCTGTGGGAGAGCAAGATCTCCATCATCATCAGCAGCGAGGCCTGAGCAAATGTCCTCTCTGCAAAACCACGGTAGATGGGGGCTCTACCTTCTCCTGAAATACCACAGCAGTTTCCAGGCCGGGCATGATGTTCTGAAGAAGGCGACAGGCTGCCGTATTGAGAGGGACCTCTCTGCTCGTCATCACATAGGTGTTCACCAGCTGCCAAGACGACACGCAAGAAGCATCATTCCCAACTCTATTGAGAATCCACTCAGAAGAAATCCGAGGTGTTATGCAAGGCTCCAGATTTGTGGAACCCAACTTAATTTATATACCGCATTCATGAAATCATCATTCTTGAACAGGATTTTGAGCAGGTGCCCAAGCATGCATTCTGGATCTGCTCTTCCTGCAGGGTAAACATAAGGACATACATTCAGAGGAAGTTAAACATTAAATTGACAACACCTTAAAAGAAGCCCACTCATGTTAATTCTCAAGTCATATTTGCATATCATATCACAATGTATACTGAGACAAACTGGGGGGGGGGGGGGGGAAATCCTAGTACTTTCCTTCGTTTTACTATTACTTAAGAAACACTATAATATTATGACAAACGATCATAACAACAAAAAGACAAAAAAAAAACTCAACTAGTCATGACTTTTAATAAACAGTCAAACAAGTAACATTTGATCTTGTCACAACAGTGCAGTAGTTTTAACACTTGATTTTACGATCAGATCAGGACATCTCAGTGAACACTCGCAGCCTTCTGCTACAATGCCATCACATCTTAAAATGACCACAGTACAGTAACCCCTTTACCATACTGGGGCAGTGAAGTATAGCTGGCACTTTGCTACTCCACTAATACCTCTTGCAGCAGAAACCTGACATTAAATTACCAAGTAAGCACAGCCTAGCTTAGCCGAATGAGTTTACTAGACATCAAAATAAACAATCGTCATCCTATTGGGTTAAATGCGAGTGTGAATGTTCATAGCTACACGTCTGCCAGGACCTGCATCTGTACCATAGTGATCAATAAAGTGTGACAGACCTGGATGCCGGTCATCAAAAGGGTCGGGATCAGCTTTGTGGTATTCCTCTGTTTCCCGTTCAATCAGCTCAGAGATTCTGTTAATAAAAAAAGCCAATACCATGGTTTAATTCTTATAGTTCCTAAACATGCTAAACAGAAAGAAAACATAAGACAAATATGCAAACTGTTGCGTATTTTCACTTTCAAGTGGATTTTTATTACGTAAATTTACATTTTAACAATAGATATAAAAGACATGGTGGAGAGCAGGTTAAATTCAGCCCACTGCATATACTTTATAAAGCTATATTAATACATATACTTATAAAATGGACTGTACAAAAAAAGGCACTAAAGCTTCAGTAAAGCTGTGTACACTAACTTGGTGAGGATGGAGACCAGGTCCTGGGTGCTACCCTGCTGATCCTGTTCCCATTTCTCCAGCAGAGAAGACAGCTCTGCTTTGGAGTCCACACTGGGAGACCCCAGAGCCATGACCTCGCCTGGTACAGCGGGGCAGAAGAACAGCAAAGTCCGTCAGGAACGAAGGGAGATGGTCGATTACAGTCTGAGGCAGGTGGACAGTCAACCGAAACAGTGCACAACTTTAAAAAACCAGTTAAACGTTACGATTCAGGCTCAACAGTAACTTCCTCCGCAGCTGTGATTACCTGTCTCATGGGCACCAGCAAAAGCCACAGAATAAACAGCCACCAAACAGCAGTCAAAAATATTCCTCTCATGGGGCTTAATTCAACAGTCAACAGGTGATTTACTTGCCGCGAAACACGTAATACTGAACTCCATCCCACGCAGCACCGATAACGTTCACAGAAAATGACATTTTCCCCTTTTACTTAACACACACATGTCGCATAACCTGATACACATTCAATCCGTACCTCTTGCTCAAAATCTTTCGTCTTATTATATGATACAGTTAATGCCATCTAGTTAGCTAAGCAGGAGCTTATGGTCCACGTAACGTTGATTTACAATGCAAATAAAGGAGTGACGTGCGTACACGTGTAAAAACTGTATACCATAATAAAACTGTGGCGGGTTATGTGTGTAGCTAAAGCACTTACTACTCGTGTAAATTGTCACTGACAGAAGTTCATTCACATTTCCTCGTTGGGGTCGAAAAGATAAAGGAAGCTCTCGATCGAACAGTTTAGCGAACAGTAAAGCAAGGAATGAAGCTCGCCAGCAATTCGCTGGATGTTCATTCTGGAGAAAAGATGTCCAGCTGGACTATGCACCCAAACAGCCGATGTGCCTGATGCGGCAAGGCTGCTAATCCCAAGTTAAACGATGCACATTACAGAGACTCCCAACAACTAGCTAGCTCGTGGTATTTCGTTAGCTGGCTACTAAGCGGGCCACTAACAGCTAAGCAGAGAAGTTAATCCTGTGTATTATACCTATAGTACAGCTGTTGGCCAAAGGATACTTAATTCAACTGGGATTAAAAACTCTAAAAATGCCAATTCTGTGCACCGTCAATACGTTGTCCACCTAGACGTATGTTAGCTGGTTTAAGGAGGTGCTGACCTGTAGTTTAAGGTTGAACTAGCTAGCGAGTTAAGTAGCTAACTTTAGCATAGCTAGTCTGCAAGTCTCAGAGAGTAAGTTAGACAGCCATGCTCAGTTCCATATGCATATGCTTACCTGGCTGGTCCACTAACCTCCCCCTTTTTCCTTAGCAGCAAAATCCGGAAATAAGAAAAATCCAATGAACCCGTGCTACGCTATTTGTCAGTAGTATTACGCTACTGTGTGTTAGCTCTGACACCTTTATGATACCATCCGTTCAGAATTTCCCGTGCGCGACAGGGTTTATTATGGCGACCACGTTCTCAACGTCATTACTTAGGCGACCACCGTCGATTGTTGCTGACGCACTAGAAGTTTTACATATTTTAACTATCTTACCCCATTGCCACTGATACTACTGAAGCTTCTCTAACGAGTACCCAAAAATATATTCGACAACTCGCGGTACTGAGGGTAGCATTTAAAAATCACAAGAAACCTTCTAGGTTAAAATCAATCGCGAAAACGTAGGCTCGATCAGTAATTCCGAACTGGGATGTCATCTTTTTAAAAGGAGTATAAAAATGCAACCTCGCCACTCTGCCCAGGACAAATGGTTAGAAGATTGTTTATTTTATTGTAAAATTAAAACAAACACAATAAGACATTTTAATACTGTAAAAAATATGTTTTATATTATCAAATACATTAATCAACAGGAATTCAACACTATTCATAATGCGTTGAGTGCTAAATGAAATGGAGATCTGTAAACCGCTAACTGAAGACCTAAAAGTCAGTTATTACAATTTGCTGTGCGCCGTTCGGTTTCTGTTCAGGACAATGCATGTACCGATATAAATACTGGTAGACTACTGGCGGTTATTTTTATGACTATCAACACAACAAATTACCTGTTCATTTAGTAGTCAAGGTTATTGCTAAGGAAGTCAAGGGTTAATCCTTATGGTTGGAAAACAAACAAAATGTAAAATAATACTGTCCGGCTTAAGTCATGAAATTATGTGAACAAAACTGGCTATACTCATAACAACAGATTAAATACGAGGCTTCTTTGAAGCAAACATATGCTACATTATTGCGCAATTCCAGTATATCGAAACCAAATAAAATATTGCCTGATTTGAATTACAAAACAAAAATATTTTCTAGTTGAATGCATACACTTTTACGTATTTCTCATACCTCAGTACAAGATCTTTTATCTGCATGTCCTGATTTGATACCATTTAATACCAGGATGCGATGGACTGGCTTATGCTGGGAAAGACTATAGGTTCAGTGCGACACAATACTGGATAAACTGTACGGATGGACAGATGGATAGAATAAAATCCAGGATCGAAAGCAGTACGTATTGTTACATATTATGCACGTTAATCACAATACTGTTTTTGTTCTTGTCGCCTAGCTTTTCCTTAGTTTGTACTCAAATTCAAGAAATTCGCGTAAGTTCCGTATTTCATAAAAACCACGTATGAAGACACGCATATATACACCTCTTACATGACAGCTGTATTGCATATTTTCTCGACTTAATTAATGGAAGCAATTACATAACAAGTCCCCCTTAGACCTGGCGTATATAAGATAGAAACTGGCACGTATACCATTTCCACAAAATCAGCACAATGCCGCACTGAGCGTACCATAACATTACTTAGCTAGTGCTTCTGCACATTGTGTACATATTAATTATATTACGCTACTCGCATATATATCTTCCATCTGCAAACAAAACAGGTGACGTTTGGTCCCCCATTCAGAGAGCCTGTCGGACCCATAGGGTCGGACCACAACGCACACGATCACGTGACCAACCATTTCCGCAGATCCTAGAAGATAAATATATAATTAAATAATATTTAAACATACATGTTCGTGCACAAGATCTATTGGTAATATTAACTAATTGACAATAATATATAGCGTTTATCACGATAAACAACACATATTTATTTAAAGGAAAAGACGAACTTTTAATATTTTGACTTCCGAGTTTGAGCTTACTTTTCCCGTCATCCTTTGCTGCTGCCCTCTCTTCCTCTTTACTGTCTGCGGAGAAGGCAGCCTAAAATTTGGTAAGTGAATATAATCTTTAATCATCTTCTGATTTTAATATATACGGATGGAAATACGTTTGTATTTTTGTACATAGAAGCTTATTGATAAATGGATGTCTGCAAATTGTGTCAGTATTTGTAAAATTTTAAGTTAAATGATGGATACAAAAATGAGGTTCTCGATTTCAGATTTCAGCTTGTGTATTACACGATTTCGGTTTTCCACAAATATTGACACTTTTATAGAATGCGTCAATTCTATGAATCATTCTGTCTTGGTTTTAATGTTTATTTTAAAAGCCTAGAGATGTTTATTAGTTGTCCTTCTAATGGTTTGCATATCAATCGGCAACTGTCCGTACGCTCAAGCAGGCAAAGGTCTTACAGGCTACGCTTAAAAAATTTACGCCTGCACAGGTAACGCGTGTATCACGCTAAGCCACTATCGCTGTTTTTGCTTTAATTTTTAACACGACGTGCTTATAGTGAATGAATCCCGTGATCAGGACAACTTGGTGACTGTTATGTAAACCAAGAGTTATTATATCGTTCGCTGACAAACGCCTAATGTACAATCTTATGTACCATTATTAATTCATTGTAATATTTTGCGATTATTTATAGTTAAGTATCCGGTTTTTGTACGCCTAACTCTTTCCTTGCTGTATATGAGTATTAAGCGATTAATATGCAGTTGCGAGACATAGAGCTGTGGTATCAGGTGTAATGTCTATTGTACTTAAGTTACTAATTCCTTTGCTTAAATCATCACACCTTCTGTTTCAAGATTTTCAATGCATACACAGCACTGTGGAGATAACGTCTCTGTAGCACCTGAGGAACACTTGAAAATGAATGTTGCTGTCAATGTACAGATGTTTCTGCTGCTTACTAATTTTGCCCCCCCACCCAGAGACCATGGCAGCCCTCAGACCTCTGAGAAAACCCAAAATTGTGAAGAAACGGACAAAGAAGTTCATCCGCCATCAGTCAGACCGCTATGTTAAGATTGCAGTGCGTTTTCCCCTCACCAGGATCACTCTTGTGTGATACCATCTATGTTTACATTTGCTACTAAAATGTTTTGTCGTAGTTTTCAGTTTGCATTTGTGCTCATGGTATCCTTTCAGAAAAACTGGCGTAAGCCCCGAGGTATTGACAACAGAGTCCGTCGGCGGTTCAAGGGCCAGATGCTGATGCCCAACATCGGTTATGGCAGCAACAAGAAGACCAAGCACATGCTGCCTTCTGGCTTCAGAAAGTTTCTGGTGCACAATGTCAAGGAGCTGGAGGTCCTGATGATGAGCAACAGGTAACGCTAAAGAAATATGCCATTTGAATTCGGATGAACTTTAATTTGGCCAATCAGACACATTGGACATGCATACAATTAATATTTACCTTGAAAGGTCACGATGGCTTACAGATTAGGATAGATGTACTTTATTAATCCTTATTGGGAAATTTTCCCTTTCCTCGTCTTGCTGTCCATGAGACTTACACATGCTTGTTGGTCACAGTACAGTCAGCCATAGCTGAGAGTAATTGGGGGTTAAGGGCCTCACTGCCAAGTCTATGCACATGTCAGTGTTTTACTGATGCTCAAACTGACTTGTCCATCACAGGAATAGGGGCTCAGCCCTCTGAGCTACACATACACTGGCTCCCATGGTCTTTTTCCATCAGGTCTAGAAAACTGTAGGTTTTACTTAAACTGTTGCAGCATCCTGATAGATGACTTGCATAAAGATCAGAACGACCTTTTATGCTGTGTACCAAGAAAAAATGGTTTTTCATACCATGAACCTGCATGGAATGTAAGGGTCCATTTCTCATTTATTTTGCTCTCATTTAGTTATAGAAGGGTGTGAATTATTGAACATCTGCCTTTTTGTCAGCTCGGCATGCTAAGAAGGTTTGCCGTGGGGGGTGCACATGCTTATGTGTCAAAGATATTTGAAAAATAGTTCTGAAATGCTGTAAATAAGGAGACTAGTACATTTAAACTGATTTAATATCCAACCCGGCACAGTCCATTTATTTATTTATTGCATTGTGTGAATTTCACTTTTATTTTCATCATCAGTATCACCTGCTGGAACTTGGAGAAAACTTTAATAAATAAATTTTATTGTCCCTGATTATAATTTGTCCTTTGCTATTGTATGTTTTTCAATAACTTTTGCTTTTTTGCTTTATAGGACTCATTGTGCTGAAATTGCCCACAACGTTTCCTCAAAGAACAGGAAGCTGATCGTGGAGCGTGCAGCACAGCTTGCCGTCAAGGTCACTAATCCCAATGCCCGGTTGCGCAGCGAGGAGAACGAGTGATCTGCGCCTGTATTTGCATTGAAAATAAATTTACATTCAAAATGCTGGCTTTGCGCTTGCACTTTGTGGTGCATTGGTAGAACACATCGGTGCATTCTTGTATTGTCATAATTGTAAACATACTCATATTAACCTAGCAGGTTCACCACCCATTCTGATAGAAACCTGACAAAAAGCTGATACCAGCATACATACACTATGAGCCAGAAGTTTTGGCCCACACTCTGAATTTTTAAAAGATAAACGATACACTGCTTTTTCTAATTTTTATTAAAGGAAAATATAAATGTAAGTGGCTTGTTTTGAAGTGTATTGTAACGATTTCCAGTGCTTTGTAAGTATATTTGAATGAATGCGAGAGCCTAAGTAGAAGTTTCATCAAAATAACCCCCCCCCTTTATCAGTGCAGCACAGATTCATTTCTAGCAATTTTTGGAAATAACTTGTCTCCAAACCCTCCCGGCGCCTTTTCCAGCATGCAAATGGTTTGGTCTCATTTATAGACGTTTACTTTGATCTTGTTGGGCCAACTCATCCTGTGGATGGACTTTCGTCTGTCTTTGAGACCTGCTTCCAGTCCAGAACACCACAGTATTTGTGCTGTTTAGCATATATTAATCTCCTTTTCTCGCTAACACCACAAAGTAAAGGTTTACTGGCAGCAACTCGACCATGTAGTCCAGCTGCTCTTGATATTTGCTGGACTGTATTAACAGATAATTCCCCTTGTTCACATTAATCACAGCCCTCTGTAGTCGTCTTCCAATTTCTTTTGCACGTCACAACTCGATGTTGATCTTCAGCCTTTGCTGTCACTTTCCTTGCCTTGTTTCTGGTCACTTTTGCTTCCTTGTCACACTTTTTCTCAGAGACATTTAATTTTCTGGCCATTTGGTGATGAGCGAACCCATCAATTCAAA